ATAGGACTTAAAACAAATTATGCAAGCCTCTTGGTATGGCGGTTGTGCTGGTTGTGAAAAAATGTGTCCTACTGCTAACAGTTGGTCCATTTTTCTAGACAATATTTCGACTTTTTGAGCAATATATGCAATATGACCTACCTTATATAGACCACCTCGCTTCATACCACTTAGGTTTGGATTGCTTCTCATGTTGAGAGACAGATGCATGGTGGAGGGAATTTTCACTTAGATTTTCAAATAACTCCCATACTTGTACATCACTCTTAGTCATAAACGTTCCACCACAGGTCGAATTGACCATTTATTTGAATGAGTAAGTAAAACCAGAATAGAAAATGTGAACAAGTTGTCACTGGGGTACTTGATGATGGAGACACTGATGAAGTAAATCCCGAAACCTTTCCCAAGTCTCATGAAAATGCTCACCATCAATTTGAGAAAAATTGGTGATGGCCCGTTGTATCTGATTGGTTTTACCTATGGGAAAATATTGTTCAAAATTTTTTGCCTCAATTGGTCCCAAGTTGTGATAGAGTTGGCGGGCAAGGAATTTAGCCAGTGTTTGGCCTTATCCTTAAGTGAAAAGGGAAACAATCTCAACCTAAGGGCCTCATCGGTAAAATTTTGAAGTTTCACTATAAAACAGGTCTCTAAAAACTCACTGAGATGTTTATAGGCATCCTCATTACTAAGCCTGTGAAAAGATGAAAGCATTTGAATGGTACTAGGCTTATTCTCATAATGGGTCGCTTTGGTAATTGGCAATCAGATGCAAGATGATGAAACATCAGTGGTAGGGGTAAAATGTGCCTTCAGTGAGCTAAGTTGGTCAACTACTGCTTTAGCCATTGCTAAAGTCGGTTTAGATATCTGGAGATTTCTAAGGGTCTGCTCTAGTTCAGGGTCATATAATAATTTTAAAAGACAAGAACGATAACCATGCATACAACACACTCATAGCTTTATTTTTATTATTTTTTTATTTTTTACAACAACACAAAGAAAGAAAACGCCTGCAAATTAGTACAACTAAAATAAATAACACTTTACAAGATTATAAAATAAATGTACAACATGTCGGGAGTCGTAAGCTACCCTTTAAGGAAAATTAAATTACGATAAAAATAAAAAGGGGTATAAGACCTCCCAAAGAAAGAAAAAAAAAAGTGATAAAATAAATTGTAATAAAATAAATGTTAATAGTTAGTAGTTAGTAGTCAGAAATTTATTTTATTTTATTTATTTATTTTTTTTTTTATATATCCTCAAAGTTATATGTCCAGTAAAGGTCATCCACCAGTGTCTAGCAAAGGTAAATATCCCAAAAGTTATATGTCCAGCATGAACGGAATGGAATGAATTTTTTTTTATTTCTCTTATGTTTTTTTTTTAATATATATTTTTTAAATTTTTTTTAGTTAACCTGCAAAAGAAAATTTGCACAAAAAGAAAAATCAATAAAAACAAAAACTAATTGAAATTTCTAGAATTTTTTTTTTTTATACCAGAAGTCCTCGGCAACGACGCCAAATTTTGATGCTGTCGTTTGAACACCAAAATAAAATGAATAAAACTGGTTGCAACTACTATTACAAAAGTATAGCGGTTGAGAACAGGTGTCGAACCACAAAGACTAGGGCAAGTTATTTTTAGTTCAAATATTTCGATTTTGAAAATGGAAAATGAGAAAAATAAACCATAAGGTCTAGAATTCACTGCTAACTTTGTAATTAAGGATTATTGTATTTAGATTGTAGAAAATCATTAAAATAGGCACTATGATGTGTCTTGGTTAGGACACATCACTTAAAAAGATTTATGTTTAAAATCAGAAAGTCACGAATTATCTTCACCTAGCACGAACCGTCACAACTAAACTAAACTAAATTAAGGTTGATGCACGATCCGTCTTACTAAGTATGGCTAGTCTAACAATTTTAATACACAAATAGTGAAAACAAGTGTATAACATGCATTCATGACCAGTAAACACATAATTTGATAAAACATTATTTGTACAAAAATCTAAGCTATATAACAATACCCAAATCAATTAAAAATCTACAAAACTAAATACAAATTATCCCAATCACTTTATCAGAATTTTATCTTAACCCTAAAATATGAAAATTAGGGGTTGTTTGAGGTGTCCTAAATAAGTGTATTTTTTGTCTTTTTGGACTTTAAAATTGAGGTTGAAAATATGGATGTTTCAGTTAATTTTTTTACTTTTTATGAAAAAATGTGTAATAAAAAATTGTAAAAATTGATTTGTAGGGAAAAATTCGAATTGGGAGTTGTGCAGCTGTAATTGTTGACTTTTGTTAAATAGTGTTAACTTTTAAACTTTTTGAGTAATTTTTTGACTTTTTAACTTTTTTACAAGTTCCCAAACTTGACCTTAGTTGCACATACTAATATTACAACCACAATAAAATATATATATTCTAAACCGTTCCACTCTTTTTTTTTTCCTTTTTCTTTTCTTTTCTTTTTCTCCCTCGCAGAGCTTCAGCTCCAAGCTCTAACACTTGAGCCTCAGCTGCACGCCCCCTTCCTTTCCTTCTATAGACCCAAACCTGCGTAACCAAATAAAAATTATAATATTAATATAATAATATAATATATATACATATATATCGAATGTTAATTGAGTGATCAATACACATGAATAGCGTGGGTGCACAATTAAATACTATGAACCTTTTTAATATAATAATATATAATATTTAAAATGTATTATTTATATTAATTTTTTTACAAACACTTAAAATATATAAAAACACACAAAAAAAATTTAAAATTATCAAATGGTAAAAATAAATAGACTAATAAAATATATTTTAAGGGGCTAAAAATGTAATATTTAGGCTCCAATCATATATATAATTGAATATATATACCTGGGGTAGTTTGGTTATTTTGTATGGATTTGTACTTATAGACAAAGTAATTTAGAGTGTGAATCTCTGGCCAAAGAAAATTCAGAATTGGACTTTTGGATCGAGTGCTCTTTTTTTTCTTTTTTCTTTTTCGGTACATTACAAATACACTGCTTGATTTTTGCTTAAAATATAAATTATCTTTTTGTGATTTAAAAGGTTACAAATACTCTCTTATCAAGATATTTTTATTTAACAGTAAAAACATAAAACTCCTAACTGTTCTCATATTCAATGATAAAATTACTTAAATTATTAATTGAAAAAAAATTTAACATCATTAAAAATTATTAATTAATTTGATGATTTATTAATAAAATTAATCATTTATTATGAAATTAAAAAATTCAAGAGGCGAAATGTAATTTCTAAAAACATAAAGGGCAAATTATATTTTAAGAAAATTTTAGAAAGTATATTTATAATTTTATTTATTTATTTATTTATTTTTGGGTATTTATTTTTTTGGGTAGTCGAAAGATTGTCTTTTTTTAAGTTAGGATTCATTTGATTATTAAAAAAATGATGGAAATTGAAAATGTTAGAAATTAAAATGAAATAAAATAAAATATATTTTCCTTTATGAATCTGATTATGGTGAAAAATTTACAACAAAATAGAAATTCAAAATATTAGTAACTATTTTTATAACAAATTTAATTTTTTTTGTATTAAAAAAAATTATAAGTTTAACTATCATATTATTATGAATTGTAAATTTTTTTTTTTTTTTGGTTGTAACTTCCACTACTTACTAAACAAACTTTTAAAAATCTGTACTATCATAAATTGTAAAACATTTGTCTATCAACATGAAAGTTTTAATTAATTTTTTTTATAATTTTGAAATTATAAAATTTAAAAATACGCATGTTCATTGGTACTTGATTTGTAAGATTAATTTTAAATTTTCTTAAATAATAACCTTTATATATATATAAGGAAGGAAAATAATAATTTTCTTATGACAAGACAATATTATCACCCTTGATTCGACTAAGTTTTGATTAGAAATTGACGTGAACTGACAATGTAGTGATATTAGACGATGATTACAATCAAATGATATTCTGTCTCTTCTTTGCTTACTCTCCCTGCCCATCGACTACCGCCCTCGCTCTGTCTCCAATCCCCACCACCTACCGCTGTATAGAATGCTATACGAAAGGGAGTTTCGATTGCAAATCGATTTTAATACAAAACATGGGTCTCATTGGTTAGCTCTTCATTCTGGCAAATTGCCTTCAGTTGATTCTTGATTCCTCCCCCGCAACCAAACTAACAGTCACTGCTGTGTATTTACCACAGCAGTGACCCCAAATCCCTTCTTCAAATTACATACGCTAATAAATGACTTGCAATCAAGTTTGTCACTTGATTTTTGATTTAATAAATGACTTGCAATCAAGTTTGTCACTTGATTTTTGATTCTTGGATGATTCATCAATTGGGATACTCTAACGACTAGTTCTATAGAATGGTTGTGGTCTCTCAAAAGGAAGAAACAAAGAGAAGGAGATGATGAGGTGTCATGGTTTAATTGGCTGTCCGTAAACAAATGAATTACAGGACAACCGTATACATCGTATTCCCTTATATAAAATGAATTATACATTTCAAATTATAATAATATTTTTCAAAATTAATGAATTTCATTTCTACAAACACTAATATTTTATCGTATCAAATATGAAAATTATTTTGGAAATTTATTCCTAATAACATCTTAAAATTAATAAGCCTTTTTCCTCTCCATCCCTCTCCCCAAACAAATATACCATCCAAGATAAACCATTTGAACTGAATTTTTGATTGGTGAAGTTTATTAATTACAATTCATTTGATAAGAGATTTCATTCATTCATCTATTTATTTATTCTATTATTAAAAGTGAACAACTCATTTAGTGTCCAAACTCTGGCTTATCCTTTTGGCACGTGTCCTCATTTTGCTATTTGAAATTAAAAAAATTAGATAGCCAACAAGAAAAACACTCGAATGTTGGATCTTAAGTTTAATAAACAATAATGGAGAATGACTTAATATAGGCTAGGGTTTATGTGAATTTGCATCACATTGAATATTGTGAGAATATCTTTAACTATAAAGAAGAATATAAAAATGAAAAATAAGGAAAGAAAGAATGGATTGAACCATATCTTTAGCTCTAGTATCAACAAAAGTCATGACCAAAATAAGCTCCCTACTAAACCATAGTTGAAACAAAATACTATAATAAATTTACATAATAAAAGACACAAGTACTATTTCTCTATGCTGCACACCCGTTCCGCATCACCCATTCCCCGCTCCTGCTTATGCGACTAATCTTGTCAAATCTCACAGAAGGGACACTGAATTTAATTCTCGACAATCAGTCCTGCAAACGACCACATCACCTGGTTAGACAACCAAGCAAATTTGATTTCAGTGAACCTTGAAAGACTTGAACTCTCATGAGCAGCCTTGACCTCCAAGTCCTTGTACCCTTAAGAACTCATGCCGATTAAACTCATCAACAGACAATCGGATTTCTACTAAGATGGAGGGAACAATTAGTCTTGACTTCAAGATGTGGATACATCGTTTAATTGAAGATGATGTAGAAGTGCCAAACCTGGCTTGATAGACAATAGTCTCGAACACATGTCAACACAATCAGGGTGCAACCCTGGAAGGATGAGCTCGGAAAATGGAAGACATGAACACGACTGGACATTCTGCAGAATCTGAACATTAGTTCTACCATGAAAGGGCCGATAGCCATGAAGAAGTTCAAAAAGAATCACACCAGCACTCCACATGTCAACCTTGGCATCATATTGCTGAAATTGCAGAATTTCTGGGGCCATATACAGTGGAGACCCGCAAACTGTCTCTGCGTGATCATTAGGATGTAAAATTCTGTTCCCAAATGAAAATTTGGAATCAATAATAATTTATGCTATGTTTGTTTTGGCGGAAAACATTTTTTTGAAAATGTTTTTCTATGTTTGGTTGTGACCTTGAAACTAATGTACTAGTTGTAGTGCAGAGATCCCTTGGAAAACGCCATCACTCCTAGATAGTTGATAACTTTGAATATGGAGTAGAAGAACCACACAAATACAAAAGAATTCAAAAGAGAGCAACTAATTCACAAACACAAACTTAAAACCAAAAAAATTCCACTAACACAGAGAATGGTGCTCCAAAGAGCTGCAATGGTGATAAAGCAAACTCTCACAAATAACAAAGCTCACCAGATCCAGAAACAAGTTCTCTCAAAATCCTCTCTATCAAAAACCATTTATTTTCAATTCTCACGAAACCCTAGTTTCAACCAAGAGGCGCCAAGGAACAAGTCTCACAAGGAGACACCAAATATTCTAACAAACATAACCAAAGATCCCAAACAAAAGAGAAAGAGAGCCGAGAACAAAACCTAAACTCTCCAAGTCACCAAGAACAAAAGATAACTCTCACTAAGACCTCCAAGAGGCCACCAAGAATCTTGTGCAGGCCATCCAATAAGAAACAAGGACCCACCAAGATCACCAAGTAAGGATCCACAAAAAGGACCATCAAGTGACCAAAGGCCACACAAAGAAACCCCCTAGGGAGAGCACCCAAGGATTGAATAGTGTCATCCACAGAGAGAGAGAGAGTTTTCACATATATATAGTCAACGAGTCCTTAAAACTAATCCACACCAAAATTGTTTTCCATGCACTTCAAGTCCAAAACTATTAAGGAAATACCAAAACCAAAACTTTAGGAAGTCCAAAAGCAAGTCAAATACCAGATCCTGTGAGCCTCCATGAAGGGCTCCGCTTGAGCGAAGCCCACCACCGCTTGAGCGGTGGAAGGTAGCAAACTATAAATAAGCCAAAAACAACACTAGTGGTGCAATTAGTGGTGGTTGAGGTGGCGGTGGTTGCAGCAATAATTTGGTAAGCATTGGTAAGACTTTCCACCTCTCAAAAGTGAAAATTATTTTTTTGTTAAAATAAACATGTTTTCCATTGACCAAGGAAAAAGTTCTATTGACTTCCGTTTTTGTCGTACCAAATGCCTGAAAATGTGAACCATTTTCCCAAAAACGCTGAAACAAACAGAGAGTTTGTTGACTTTTTATTCCAGGTATATTAAATGATTGAAATTACTAGTTTCCTCTGCTATTTATTATTACCTTGAGAGACCAAAATCAGCAATCTTCAGCGCTGCATCACTGTGAGGGCTTGAAAGCAAAATGTTCTGATAAAAAAAAGGGTACTAAGATTAACCAATTTGAACAAATTCTGATCTCACACAAAAGCACACTATAAAACAGAGAATAAGATTAATATGAATCATTTGTACAAGATTGTTTTCATTAAAGATGTAAAAGTGCTGGAAAATGCAATTTTTTTGTAAAAATAAATTTCCTTTGGAAGAAACTGTAAACTTGAAGACACAAACAAGTGGTGACAATAAGATAAATTCTATTCTGAATAAAAACTTTGCAAATTATAAAAATTACAAGTTTCTTCTATTTTCATTTGCTGCATTGGCAATCCTATGTAATGGTTGCAAAAGGATGGTCTTGTAGATCAATTGACCAGAGTTATCTTTCTAAATTTGAAGTTATTCTCTAGAGATCATCCATCAAGTTCATCCAGTGGGAGAATTCCACGAAATAGCACAAAACGAAAGCTACCATTTGTCATTTGTTGTTACCTTTTCCTTCTATTTGGCTGGGCCAGGGAAAGGAGGAGAATCCACGATGACTAATATATGGAACTTCCCACAAAAATCATCTTACCATTTTCTTGTCCTTTTTTATCTATTATTTTTCTTTTCAATTAAAACATCAAAACATAAACAGATTTACAAAACTGCCCTTACTAGTACTTGCATGCGTTGTTATCAGAATCTTACGATTCGCAATTTTTACAAAATTGATACGAATCTATGGGTGAATTTATTTTGGAAGTGAATCTCTAGTGAATCGTATGATTCGATTCACGATTTGATTCACTTTTTACGATTCATGCAATTTTTGAAATTATTGTGTCCGACATATTTTTGACTGTTTTTTCTCCATCTTTTTAGTAAAAATGACATAATACAACTTCTAATAGCGTTTAATACCAAAATAATCAACATATATACATGATTTGCTGTTATTTTAGTGATCATGGAGTTTTTAATAGGGTCAATCAGATTTAGTTAGACCCAACATATTTTTAATCTTTCTTCTCATTTTTTTTTTTCCTTTAAAAACTGTAATATATCTTCTAAAGATGTTTAAGATTAAAATTACACTATGAATGATCTATTACTATTTTATTAAATTGAATATTACATGTGTGAGGTCAGTTATACCTTTTAAAATATTTTGGGTTTTAAAATAAAAGATTCTACATGATTCTTTCTTATTATTTGCTCACTGTTAGTTAGAAAAGTATGTATGCTTATTGTCCAAATATCAATATCGTTGTTAATTATTGTTAATTTAGAAATTGATGGTTTGCCTATTTGGTTATTATCTTTATTAAGAATGGTTGATAAGAAATATCCAAAAAAGAAAAAAAGGTAAGATGGTGATCTTACATAGAAACCTTTGTTAACTTCTTACCTATTAAACTACATGATTATCATTCAAAATAACATTTTTATTGATTTAAGTCTAAATATTTTATATTCATAAGATATATTTAACATCTAAATGTGTAGATATATGTTTTTAAATAATTTAGAAGACGTGACCGAATCGTTACGATTCATGATTCGATTCGATTCACGATTCAGTACAAGATCATTTCGATTCACGATACGAATCCCGATTAGACAACTATGCTTGCATGACCTCAAAATCTTAGTACATAATATTGTACGGGAACATCTTCCAATGCTATATGTAATCCTAAGGTTCTTCACAAGACAGCAGGAGGGGTGAAAACTAAAAACGTGCCACAAAGAGACGACATATCGAAAAACAAACCAAGGAATTGTGTGCAATGAGTTCTGCTAGGCAAGCAACTGTCCAAATCGGAATGTCTATGATAGATCTGGAGGAGGATGAAAACAAATGGTCATTTTCAAGCTTGTCGTTAGGGGTCGAAGCTCTTGTTGTTGAGTGTTATTAACGATCAAGAATTACGAAACACTACAATCAGTTTAAATTTGTTCTAAGTGCTACATTCTTGAATTAGACTTGTTTCAAGAATTTATTTTTTATATAAGAAAACCAAAAACTTTTGAAAACGTGACTTGCATAAATAAATCTGTTGGCATTGGCAGTAGATGGAGGTCATTGTGTATGCCAGCTGTGGTAGAAGGCATTCTATGGAAAGATATTGCTTACAAGTTTATGAACTTTTGCAATATGAGGAATGAGTACTAGTACCCATAATTCCCCATTGCCCAATGGTGGTGGAAGAAGTGTGATCGAATCGACAGTGGTGGTGGATTTGTTTTTGGAGAGGGGCTTAGTGGGTAGAGTTGGTAATTGGTCTAATGAGGTTCCAGCGGTGGCAGAAATGTAGTGATGGTGTGAAAAGCAGTGGAAGGTGGTGGCAGGGGGTGCAAGTGATCGACGTTAGTGGGTCTTTCTTCCTGCGAAGGCCAAAAGGATTTTGGATGGATAGGGGGTGGCAATTGAAGGGAAAGCAGTCTCCTTGGACTAGTGGTCTCCAGTACGGGGCTGCTTCAAAAATTTCCATCAGCCAGAAGTTGTTTGGGTTATTGTTTTGAGGCTTCCTGTTCACAATTGAAACCATGCTCTGTTTTTATCGTTGGAGAGGCTTGCAAGGATTTTATGGGCGTTGATGGAGATACAAAGTCTAGAGAGTATTTCCAATGGGCAAGAATCTGAGTTCGATTATTGATATAGGCTTTCCCGACAACGGTTATGGTGACGGCTGGGTGTCATGAGTTGACTCTTTCAAGTCCAATGTCGTGATGCTTGCATGTGTGGTGGCCTTTGTTGTGCTCAGTACATGCCTTTGGAAGTGCCATATGAGGGTGTGGCATCGGATTCCAAGTCAAGTGGTTTGGCACCCCAACATGGCCCCAACTAATCCAACGCATGCATGTCAACGAGAACGCCCAATGCTATTTGTTCACCGACCCGCCCAATTTTTTTTTTTTCAAGAATTGGGGAATTATTAGAAAATCATTATGACTCCTCAAACAAGGTGGATGTTTCTTTGTGGCAATAAAAAAAAGGCTTAAAATGCTATTATAAGGTGGCATGTTGTGCCAACTACCTGCCTCCCCAACCTGTGATGGGTTCCAAGTGGGCATCATCTGGACAACCTGAGGGCGGGCCTTTGACATACCATGAGGGTTATCATTAGTCTCCATGCGGGTTTAGAAGCCCCATGAAGAGTGTCATCAAGGGGCATTAATGCCGACATTGAGCGTCGAATCTCGACTAGAGGTTTGGACACGCACTTGCTATGCTACGCATTGTAGCATCTTAGGCTGCCATCCCAGATCGAACATAATAGGCTATCAAGGTGCCACTAGGGGCCTCGCATGCCAAGTCACGAACATGCACTTGGGTTCAGCCGTGAATGTGGGGGTCTTGTAGACTAGCTAGCGGTTTGGTGGCAACAACGCTACTCGTGGGATAATTTGAACGGCATGAAGCATTGTCATCATGGGAGGCACATCGTATGGAGCTCGTAGGAAGGCAAAATGTTAATTGTGGGCTATGGACAAATGTTGTCATAGTCGTGCACCATGCTAGTCTATGAAGCACGGACACGGATACGGACACGGACACGTGACATGTGACACAACACGGATACGCAAATTTTCAAAAAATGAGGGACACGACACGCTAGAGACACGGTCAATATATATAATTAAATTTATTTATTATATGTTATAAAATTTTAAAAAAAAATATTGAAAGGTAATAAAAAATGCAAAATAACACTATTAAAATTATAAAAAAAACATTTCATTGATTTAACAAAACTAATAAAAAAAAGAAGAGAAAAGAATATAATCAAATAACAGAGGTAGAGAGAGAGAGAGAAGAAAAAATAAAATAAAATCGAAAAAAAGAAGAAGACAGAGACAGAGATGTTACCATCAGCCTATAAAAGAAAAAAAAAAAGGAAAAAAAAATAAGAGTTCAAGAGTAAAGCAGAAGAGAGAGAGTGACTGAGAGCGACCGAGAGAGACGCGAGAGAGATTGGAGAAGAAGAAGATCGAAGGAGAAGAATGAAGAAGAAGAAGAAGATCGAAAAAGAAGAAGAAGAATGAAGAAGAAGATCGAAGTTGTACTATGGATAACAACAAGAGCAGCGAGAAGCAACCATCAACCATCGACCATCGATGACCGACCAAGTGTGCCGAACGAACTTTTCTCTCACTTTCTTCTATTCTCTCTATTCGATTCTAGGCATAGTTCTAAAAATCGGCTGATACGCTACATACCAGCCGGTTCGTATCGGAAAAATAGAGCATCGCGACGAATACAGGCAGTTATAGCATTGAGATCGAAAATTGCAAGAGAATCGGCCGAGTCCCGGTACGTAGTGGTCTGTAACCGTTACATAAACCGCGACAGGCCGATACTCATCGGTTCGGACTGGAAACCGGACACCTTCTACTGTGTGTCAGACACGTGTCGGACACTGACACGTAATCCTCAGAGAGGTGTCCGTGCTTCATAGATGCTAGTGCAATGCCTAGGGTGCGCAATAACCCTTGGTGGATGGTTTAGCATGTCAATTCATGCAAGGGTATTAAGCTGTGGGCACGCAAGCGACCCTCAAATCATCAGTGGCTATTCAAGATAGGTGCAACAAGAGATCATATGCATGAGAGAAAAAGAGCTTGTTAGCTAGGTTAAGGGTTCTATGCTAGTCCACAATTGGGCAATTTTAGGTTGGCTTAGTTGTGGACAAGACTGACACAAGATGCCTTGATTGACATGAGCCTCAGTTGGGTGAGCACCTTGCTTAAAGGCAAGTTTGATGCCATGAAGCAACCTGAGCCGTGCTTGGTGTACTTGTGGATGTCAAGTCTACTTGTGCCATTCGGAAGGCGGAGCTTCCGTTGTGGGAGTTGTTCTTCCTTGACAAAGCATTGGGCCTATATTTGACGAGATGGGTAAAGATTTAGAACTCGGTGGTCAAGAAGTGATAAGGCAGGCTTGAACTTGGTCGAGTTCAAGCACCTCACGGGAAAAAATTCATTCCTTTGCATACTCCAAAGTGTCGGCCCACGACACTGGGCCATGTTGTCACAAGATGCATTTGTCTTTTACTCATTTATTTATTTTTGAGTATACATCACGAATATGTAATGTCCTAGCTGATTTGTTGTATAAGGTTCGCCCCCTCAAGGAACTTTGTTTTATTTTATTTTACATAATTATCAAAAGAAATAAAGAGCGCATATGCATTATGTAAATATCATATACCTCTGGTTTCAAATCTCGGTGGATGATGTGATGGGAGTTTAGCACCTTCAGACCAGCTCCTGCAATGCAGCAAATGACGACACACCAATCCAATCACAACATTTCAAACAGGAAGAACTAAATGCAATAATAAAGGACAAGTGCTAAATAGACTGCATTGAAGAATTACCAAGCTGTTGCATGAATTTTCTAGCAACTTGTTCTTGAACTCTTCCATGTAGTCGAATGTATGAAGCTAAATCTCCCCCAGCACAAAACTCCAAGACCAGGAATACGCAACCTTCAGCCTGAGAAAAAACAAGGCAATTTCAAGTTTGTGTATCAATGAGAAAAATAAACTGCGAAGAAGTTACTTTTAATTTGAGTTTCATTTTGGTTCAACGAAATCCAAATTAAAAAGCCTATACATATAGGAACAATGTCTAGTTAGTCATGTTTTTTGTTAGCAGTTTCACTCCGTTATTCGAGTCTGTAATTTGTCTTCAGTTTAAGTCCCTAAGCAGTTCTAGTTCCATCTGCATGAAGACTCAAGTGAAGCTTGACATAGACTTGGAATACTGTGAGGTTTGGCTTGAAGATTTCATGGATAGACAACACAAAGATATTCAAGCATAATAAACTCAATGCATGTACATACACACACTTAGCAATGGCGAGCATGGAAAGAAGCAAATGAGAAAATTTTAAATTTCACATAGAGCACATATGAAAAACCATCTATTGAAAATTTGGAATAATTTTTAGTTTCTTTTATTTATTTTTAGATTCAGTATCTTGTTGGACAAATTTTATGTCATTATAGTAGGTTTTAGTAGTTACGGTTATTATGGTTTTTCAATAATTGTTGGACATTGGTAGTAGTCATAGTCAGTCCATAGGTTTTCTTGACGGTCAAGTAATTAAATGGATCATTATATTTGTGTTTTATTATGTCTAGAATAGTCTTAGTGGTAAAAAATATCGAAGTTTCCTATTTTGAATTCATACCATAAAGTAGAATTAAAATTCATAGTCATAATTGGTCTAAAATATTTGTAGTTACCAAATATTCTCAGTTTCTAAATTTGTTGAGTCATAGTCCTTGTAGGAGAGTCTTTAGCCTATAAATATGTCTAATCACAATGATTCAAGAGAGTTGATATTATGAGAATTTGCGACTGTCTTTGTGTCTGATTAGCCTAACCCTTGCGCTATTTTTCGTTGGAGTTGGTTTTTACTGTAGTTGAATTAGTTAGGCATATAGGTAACTTGATAAACAGTTTTGACCTTGGGACCTCTTGGGATTGGCTTTTCACTTTACTTTTTTGGGCTTAGATTTTGTGCAACTATAGTGATGTTTGTGTTCATACACAATGTCTATCGTTCAAACGAGAATTAGGTGTGAGAACCACGCCATTTTTGAGGGGTGCACCCAGACGCCGGATTTGACTTTCCAATATTTGAACTCTGAATCATCAAAGTCTACATTTGGCGCTAAATCTTTATAATTAATGTTGATCAATTCACTATGGAATAATGCAATAATTAAAATTAAAAATTAAAAATTAAAAACTTATGTGCCACATACATGATATAATATTATTAGTCTGAATATGAGTTGTATTTGACTAACTACAAGATTAAATTGATATAGAATTTTAAATTTTTAGAAAATTTATATGTAATTATGTTGTAATTGATTGTATGTTGTAATTATTTCAAATCTAACCCATATCCGACAACACTTGGCTGGCCACAATATGAAATTGGATCCGCCCCTGGATATAGCAAAACAGATCAACCTAGCTCACACCAATAACATGAAGCTCTTATTACTGAATTAGGTATGGAAGTCATAACATGCAGACCAAAATAGCTTACATCAGTAATTTGCCACGAAACGGATACATGACAAAGAGACAAAGATAACAAACTGGCCATATGCGCCTTCCAATAGGCCAGTTAGACAACCGCCTAAACCTCATATTTGAGAAGACTACTCTTAATGATATATATTGTTCTATTGAACAAAGACCCTTAGTAATGGACAAAACACAAAAAATATTATTTCCTTGCTTCTAAAAAAAAAAAAAGAAGTTGATGAGGCCACATGCTCAAGTCATAAAATAATAGATAAATTACAAATATATCCTAAGATTTGCTTAAAATATGAATTGCTTCATGTGGTTTGACAAATTATATCCCTCTCCCTAAGTTTCTAATTGCATAACAAAGAAACACTTTTATTAATAAATTATCAAGTCAATTAACAGTTTTTTATGATATTAGAAATATGTTTCAATTAACAATTTAAGTAATTTTATTGTTATATAGGAAAGTAATTAATTTTTTTTATTAATTCTATTAAATAAAAAATTCTAATAAGAAGATATTTATTATTTTTCAAAACCACATAGAGCAATCCCTATTTTAAAAAACCTATTGAGTGTATTTGTATTTTACCCTAAATAGAAAAATGAAGCCTCCTATGTATTTTTTTTTTCTTTTATATTTGTAATAGATCAAATAAATAAAAGGGTAAATTACCGATTACCCTGTGACTTGAAAAATTATAAAAATGTCCCATTGTCATAATTTTTTATTTAACAGAATTAACTGAAAAAATAAAATTCCTAACTGCTCTCTTATGTAATTATAAATTTAGCTAGATTATTAATTACAATAAATTTCAAACTTCATTAAAAATTGTTGATTGACTTGATAATTATTAACAAAATGAGCTATTTATTATGAAATTATAATTTCAGAGGGTGGGGCAGGATGTAATTTCTATAATCACAAATCTTTCAAGTAAATGTATTTGTAATTTTACCTTAAATAAAAATATATGGACTAGAATGTTGTAGACAAAGGTCCTGCTTGGCAAGTAAATTTTTTGTTTTTTTTATAGTTAAAATTCACAAAAAGATAAAATATATTAAAATAATTAATAAGATAAAATGTTACATCAAATTTATAATCATTTTTTTTTTTCTCACAAACAACCCATCAAACTACAAACAAATCTAACCATTTTTTCAAATATAAAAATTTTAACTTAATAAAATTGCCAAAAATTAAAATAACCTACTGCACTAAAATAGCCAAACGACGCTAAAATGATATTCTTTTGATTTCGTTAACATCTTTCACCAATATAAACATTTCTTCTTCTAAAATTATTTATAAAAAATTAACTAGTAAGTGGACTAAAAATATGATCAATTCAAAAAAATGTGTTACAGAATTCATTGCAGAAGTAGTAATTTTGTATATTGAAATACGAAAATTTAAATTTAAATAAAATATTAATATTTAAAAAATTAAGTCATGGTTAGTTAAATGATATCAAAATCAAATTACATCTAAGGATTTTTCAGCTCTGATTCCAAGCATGGGAAAATGAAGTCTGAGAAACCCTAGAAATGAAAATTAAATTAAATGGGGAAGTAAAAAAACAAAAGAGAGAATTATATTTAAAGAAGATAGAGAGGAACCTGGAAGACATCTAAAAGGCGAACAATGTTAGGGTGATGGACGGAGGACAAGAAATTGCGCTCGCAGTCGAGAGAGATCTTGAGGGTGCGAGTGAGATTAGAGAGGCGGACTTGCTTCAGCGCCACCGCTTGGCCATGCGTCCGGTGCTCGGCCTTCCACACCGTCGACATCCTTCCTCCCAGCTTTTCCCACAATATGTACTCTCCCGCTGTCACCATCACGTCGCTACTTCCAGACTCCATTTCCCCCTCCCGAGTTAAGTTGCCACTAAAAAATTTTAAATTTTAATTTTTAGATAGACCACTACAAACCTTTTTGAGTGGTTTTTAAAAAGCTGAGGCTTGCCTTCATACCGTTTGGACTGGAAGATTCAATTCGACCCATTGGGTCAATTTTTAGATATATATATATTTTTGGATAATTTAAATTATTTATTTTTGAAGGTTTATTAAGTACATTATTTTTGTAAAAAGTCGTGTCGGGTGGATAACGAATACTATGTATTTGGATTACTTTTTTATGAACTTTTATTTTTTTGACCGTCTATTTTTTTTTTAGATAAAAGTGATCTAAATCCATTACCTGATTGACGTAATTTTTTACAAGAATAATGTACTCAAAAAATCTTAAAATATGAACGATTCTGATTATCGAAAAGAAACCAAAAAATAAGTCTAATGAGCCGAACTAAACTGGACTATCCCAAATCTTAACCCAAACCATCCGAATATTTTTTAAAACCACGAAATTGAGGCTTGTTGTGAAAGCAAAAAGGTATTAAAAAAAATTAAAAATTATAACTTATTTTTTATTTAATATTTTGTAAAAAATTAAAAACTCATTTTAAATATTTTCATTTTTTTGGTTTAATATTTTAGTTAAAAAAATTAAAAGTCTCTATTCCTAAAGCTAAGTTTGGCATAATTAAAAAAAGATAAAAAGTCAAAAAGTCACTATTTTATTTAAGTCACATCATCTTATTTAAGTCACATCACCTCTCTAACACATCACTTCAAACCCAACCTATATTTCATAAAAAGTCAAAAAGTGCACTTATTTAAATCATCCCAAACAACCCCAATGATTATAGATTCAACCTAAAGATTATTTTAGGAAGTATTTTAATCAACTTTTTACTTTTTAAAAAAAAATTATCCTGCCATGGGATGATAGCATGGCTTGTGAGTGGGGGTTACAAAAAAGAGACTATTGGGGGAGGGGTAGCAACCAGCTATGCTAGTAGGATTAGGACTAGGTTAGGGTTTGAAAATTGGACAAGATGAAGGTATTTTGGGATTGTTCACAAAACAATTGATGGAGTAAATTGAAAAGAAAACAAAACAATTCAAAACATGTGTAATGTGAATTACGAAAATTGTGTGTAGAGTTCGTATAGTGTGTAAATAAACACTCCCGATTAGATTAGCAATCCTACCTTTTTCATGGATTGTTAATCCCATGGCATTTTACTCAAATCAGTATTAGTTTTGTAAGAACCATGGACTAGTAATCCATTTCTCTCTCTCCAAACCTTTAAACGAACATGGCCTATGTTTACTAAGGGTGTACACTAGTCAATTTGAGCGATATTAGGGAAATAATCTCAATTAAATCATTCTCCACGTATTGACAATTTCTTAACCTCTTACCAACCTACACAACCTCAAAACCAGCGAGTTGGTTTGAGTATTTGGTAGTTTCAAATCAAGTGGTTGGTCAAGTTGGCGAGTTATAAATTCTAATACATTATATGATCATAACTCTAAAATCATAAGCCTTATAATGTAGGTAAAGCTACAAAATAGGAAAAAAAAAATAATATAGCTTGTGATTTTGTCTTAGATCACTTTACCCCCTCCACATTCAAATATATGCAAAGAACCACATATGTGGTGTTGGACCTAAATGCAATATTAACACTGTTGAAGGGGCTGAATATGAAATGGGTCAAACCCAAGCCTTGGGTCAGCCCAATCCACTAAACCCAAATCCAAGTGGGTTAGATGAATACATGGGCCAGCCAACTGAGCCCATCTCTATGATAAATAATCCACTCAAGTCCTCAAGTACTTGCGCTCAACTTGCAGTGGAAAGGCCAGTCCAGCCGCGGCGTTGCGCTGGGTTGGGTTGGGCCGGGCCGAGTTGCTGGACTCGATCCGTGGACCGAACTGATGGGTCGAACCCATTGTCATAACCAAAGTGAGCCGAGCCCACATAAAGATATCTAAGTGGGCTACTTCATCTCAGCAAACAGTCTCGTGAAAGGTTGAGTCGAGGAACAACGATATTGAGCTAAGGTAACCTCTCATGGAAACGTGGAAGTTATGAATACATGCACATGAAGGCTGCCACCTCAGCTGGTCCCTTCCCCCTAGAATAACGAAAGTGGTTAGCATAGGGAATGTGATCTGTCACAGGGATGATTACAAAGAACACATGCCTCCATTGTCAACTCCCTGGAGGTTCCCAACCTTAAGTAATGCTAAAGGGAGCCTTGAAGCACCAAAGCTCCATGAAACCATCTTGGGCAACAAACAAAGTCTTCTATATAAAGTCTCACTCTCTTCACATTGAAGGTAACTAAGTTGAGCTGAAATATACTTACTTACAACTAAATTCACTCTACATTTTCTTCTCCCTGCACTTAGAGAGAGTTCCTTATCTTCTTCGTCTATTTACTCCCACACCGGAAGGGTTATCCGGCCAACCCTGGCTGGGCAGCTCTAATGGTGTTCTTTGTTGCAGGGACTCAATTCCTGGATAAACCAATCGGGTGCGAAGCTCCGGTCCATAATCATCTAGTGCGGTATTCGGTACGCATAATTGGTACGGTGAGCGTTGTAACAAGCCCCGCGGGGGACCTCGCTACAGCTCGGACTCGACTCTCGTAGTCACGGTTCTAAGTCTGAACCAAAGAGTCCAAATCCGGCAAATCGTTTTGAGAAAACCGATTTTTTGAAAGAAGTGCCAAACATGGACTGCTTTGCCAGATACAGAGTCGCCACCTAAATATTTTATTTTGGGAAATTTAGGAAACCCTGACTCGGTGCCAAAAGGCCACGTGTCCGTCATCACCAAAGGTTGCATCGGCTCGGGAACTTGGGTACGATTAGGGGAGGTCACTTCGTGAGCACCCCCGCTCGTCTTCTTCTTCTTCTTCCTCCTTCTTTCTTCTCAAATTCGAGCCGGGGGCTTTCGGGCTTTGTAGCATGATTGTAAGAATTTTATCATGTAATGGAGTTTATCATTCAGATTTATTCTATGAAAATGAGATTTTATTTTTCAAATGGTAAGACCCACAATTTTCACAATTTTGTAAATCAAAATTTTGTATAAATCTTTCATTTATATAGCACTACTCCACAATATAATTAATTGGGTGTTTGAGGTTGACTTATTTAGTGACTTGTTTGTTGAATTTTTTTCTCTAGTTATTTCTTTTTGTTAAAAAAACTCAAATTACTTCACACTTATAAGTTCTACTCGATTAAATGAAATGAAAAAGTAAAAATTAAAAAAAAAAGGAAAATTTGAAAGAAAAAAAAAAGGTACAAAAAGGACAAGAAAAAAAGTAAATATAGTTATTATAGCATCTCCAATCCTTTATCAAAATTTTCATCAAATTTGAGTAAAAATTTGATGAAAAGTTTGATTTGATATGATACACTCCAATGGTAAAGAGTACATTTTCATCAAATTGGCCGGTCGTTCGACTGATCGTCCTGCAAAGGCGTAGAGTAAATTTTATGAAATATTTTTACAAAATTCCTCATATATCCCAAAACCTGATAGGGCTGGTCACTTACCAACAGCCACCTACAAAATTTGATAAAATGATAAAAGCTCACTTGATTTGATGAAAAATATAACTCTCCCTTCATTTAATATCAGTTTGATGAAATTATTGGAGCACCGTTTTATTTAGGATTATATCAAATTTAAATTTGATAAAACATTTGACAAATGATTGGAGATGGCTTTATGTATTTATTTTTTTTAATTTTTTTTTAGATTTCATCTACACAGCATCGACTTGAAAAAATAAAAAATTTTGACGTAATTTTTTTTTTTTAATTATCACTGAAGAACAAAAAAAATAAATAACTTTTTAAATTATATGCCAAACTCATAAATTAATAACTTGGTGACCCACTGAATTTTAACTGAAAAAGTTGGCAAATGCGATTAAATTGTACAAAGTCAAAACCAAAAACAATAAAATCATACGGAATATTTCATTGGATGCCTATTCTTGTCAGCTACGTGGTAAAATGTTACAATGTCCAAAAAGGATTCACTAAACTAATCCAAATTAAGATTAGACCCAAGGGTATTGTTGTCAATTGATAGAAAAGGTTGGTCCTACTATTAATATTGTCCCGTTTGGTAGAATTGTGAAAAAGTGATTATAGATTATAATTTAAACAGATTATGGTTTATAGCTGTGAACATAAGCTGTTAATCTGTTTGATGCAGCTGTAGGATTATGGATTTAAGCAGCAGAGTAGTATTTGGTTAATAAGCTGTAAAAGAGGTTTTTACTGTATAATTATCCTTTCTACTCTTATATGATATAAAAATGATTATTTTGTCATTTTTTCAGTTTTAAATTTAAAAAAATTATTTCATTAATAAAAGTTAATATAATTAGTATTACAAAAATTAATATAATTAGTATCAATTAATACTAAAATAGTAGTATCAATTAGTATAAATTTTTTTATTTTTTCATTACAAATTAATTAGTGTCAATTAATGGCTTAATTACCATCAATTAATACTAAAATTAATAATAGTATCGATTAGTATATTTTTTTTTTCATTTTTTCATTATGAATGAATTAGGTGTCAATTAATGGCTTAATTACCATCAATTAATACTAAAATGAATAATAGTATCAATTAGTATAATTTTTTTTCGTTTTTTCATTATGAATGAATTAGGTGTCAATTAATATGGCTTAATTACCATCAATTAATTCTAAAATCAAATTAATAATAGCATCAATTAGTATAATTTTTTTCATTTCTTCATTATGAATGAATTAGGTGTCAATTAATATGGCTTAATTACCATCAATTAATACTAAAATTAATAATAGTATCAATTAGTATAATTTTTTTCATTTTTTCATTACAAATGAATTAGGTGTCAATGCTAATTAATATAAAAATATTGAAATTAATACTAAAATAATTAATACTAAAACCAATCAATTTTAATAATTAATACTAAAATTATTAATAATAATGGCTTAATTATTATTTTTTTTATTAAAAAAATACTAAAAACCACTAGAAAAAAAAA